CCCCCCAGCCCCTCCTCCCTCAGACCCACAGGTCTCACCCCCCACAGCCCGCTCCCTGGCCGCTCCCCGGCCCCTCCCCGGCACTCACAAAGCGAGAGGAGTTGTCATTCTTCACGGTCTTGGCATTCCCGAAGGCCTCCAGGATGGGGTTGGCCTGCAGCAGCTGCCGCTCCAGCTCGCCCTGCAGGAAGGACACAGCGCTCACCCGTGAGCCCGGCGGGGGCTGTGTCCTGCGGGCGGGCTGCGTGTGCGGGTGTGGGGGCCCTGGCGTATCTGGGTGCACACCCACTTCCCACATCCGGGTCTTTCCATGGCATATCGTGAGGGAATCGGGGAGACATCCTCAGGACATGTTGCAAAGTGGAAACCGGGAAAACAAGCTGCAGAACGCGGCCTTCCATGGGATCCCTTCGGCTCGTAAAGAAACAAATTAAGGAGAAGACACCACAGAACAAGACTCCCCTACCTACAGAGAGACACAGCTCAGCAAACATACGGAGAAGGGTCTGCGAGGGTGCGCACCAGACTGTCACTCCAAGGAAGGGGGGACTGAGGCACAAGGAGGACTCGCACTGGGCCTTGTCTGCTGTTACTGTCATGGTGAATAGGTACTCTTGTGTGACTGGTGGGATTTTTATTTGTTTGCCTGTTTGTGTATTTATTTGTTTATTACTAGAGATGGGGTCTTGTTACGTTGCCCAGGCTGGCAACATTCTTTTCTTTCTATCTGTCTATCTATCCATCTATTTATTTCTAGAGATGGGGTCTTGCTATGTTGCCCAGGCTGGCAGAATTATTATCTATCTATCTATCTCTAGAGATAGGGGCTTGCTATATTACCCAGGCTGGTCTCAAACCCCCGGTCTCAAGCAACCCTCCTACCTCAGCCTCCCAGGTGAGAGCCACGGTGCCTGGCCAGAATTTTTAACGAAAAAGAAAATCTGCACCATTTTTGTGAAGCGCTTCAAACTGTCTGGCACCTAGGAGGCCTTCAAGAAATGGTGGTTTTCTTCCCCCACCATGCCACTCCGTGGTAGGGACCTGACTCGGAACTTCCCTCCGGCCCCCCATGGGTCAGCACCAGGCACACAGTCGGCACCCCATACAGGGCGGCCTGTGTGTGTGTGCCATGCCTCAGTCTGCATCCTGCTGGTGTCAGAGTGGAAGGGTCCAGCTGGGCGGGCGGCCTTGCCGAATAACAACGTATGTGCAGGGCACGTGGCTTGGTACAGAGAGTTCAGTACCTGAGTGTCTGTCCCAGCAATGCTGCCGAGGCCTGGGTGCCTGCGGATGTGTGGCACTGGCTGCAGGCAGTGAGGAGATTGGCAGAAAGTGACCATTTTGGCCTCTAACTGTTTCGCGTGGGTGTCTGTGGCCGTCTGCACACGTGGCAGGGCCACCAAAGGCAGCACAGTGCGGGGCGGGGGAGAGGGTGGCATCTCTGGCAGGTGTAACCGGTGCCGCCTGGGGCCCCGTCTACCAGGATGACCCGGGCTGGGCGGCCGGAGGGGCATTAGGGGCGGCATTAAGGCTCGGGGGGGGTTCCCTGCTACTCACATAAGACATGGTGCTGGTGGACGCCTGAGGAGGTCACAGGACATGAGACACGGACCAGGACACAGCACATGGAACACAGGCAGACACACAGATGAACCGGCGGGCTCGGGCGGCCGCAGGGTGGTGGGGGAGGAGACCAGGGACACTGGGCAAATGGAGAGCGGTGGCTCCGGGGCGGTGGGGGGAACCACACGCCTGGGTCTCAATCCCACTCGAGCCCTTCCTGGGGGCGTGGGCAACACGGCCCCGCCCCTCTCATGCTTGGGTCCCCACAGGCAAGTTGCATTCGCCCCACCAGAGGGTCGTGGGCAGCACAGGCCTTAGAATGGGGGCAGTCCCACAGAGTGCTCACTTAGACGACAGACCCCATCACCGACACGTAGTAGGCGCTCAGAAAATAAAGCACCTACTAAGTGTCGGGAGCCATTCCTAGGGCCATGGAGGCCAAGTCCGGCCGGCCCTGGTGCCACCAGCCCTCCCTGCCTCCCAGCCCCGCCCCAGGCACATAGTAGGCACTCAGGTGCCACGGGCGGCCAGGAGAAGGCCCCACACCCGCTGTGGCCCTCAGGAAGCAGGCAGGCATGTGGCGGTGGGGAGCAGAGCCCAAGACGGAGGGGCAGTGCTGGGCAGGGCCTGGGGGGCGTCCCACGGCTGGGGGGCTTACGGGGACGCCCGGCTCCTTCCGGCCCTTTGGTGACGACGCCACGTGGGCGAGATACTGGATGACCTTCTTGGTGTTCTCCGTCTTCCCAGCTCCAGACTCCCCGCTGTGGGAGGGCAAGGGGGAGCATGGGGGGTCCGCAAGGATGCCAGGTGAGCCCCCTGCTCTGCTCATCCCATCCAGAGCCACGCCCAGTTGGGAGCCCTCCTCCTCCGGGATTACTCACGTGCAGAGAATAGACTGATCCTCACGATCTGTAGGAGAAGGAGGGGGTGACATGTCACCTGGGGGAGCCTCTCCAGAGGGACTCTCCAGCCCCTTACGTTGGCCACTGCCTTTTCTTTTCTTTTCTTTTTTGAGTCGGAGTCTCACTCTGTCACCCAGACTGGAGCGCACTGGCACCCTCATGGCTGCCCCAGCGTTGACCTGCTGGGCTCCGGCGATCCTTCCACCCCAGCCTTCCAAGTAGCCAGAACTACAGGCGTGCGCCATCACGCCTGGCTAATTTTTTCATCTATTGTAGAGACGAAGTCTCACCAAGTTGCCCAGGATGGTCTTGAAACCCCTGGTTTTAGGCAATCCTCTCGCCTCCGACTCCGAAAGCGCTGGGATTACAGGCTTGAGCCGCCGCACCTGGTCCACTGCCTTTTTAAGGTCACTTCCGAGTAATAAGGCAAATCTCAAATTTTGATGTGTAACACTCCTGGATTCCAATAGCCCACCCGACTCGGTCCTTTGATTGCTGCGTGACCCTGGGAAAGCAAGTTTCCCTCTCTGAGCCTTGGTGTCCCCATCTGCAAAATGAAGACTACCCCACCTGGACAGACATAGTTCATTCAGCAACCTCAGCGTGAGGCCCTACTGTGCGCCGCCTCAGGCTGGGCTGGTGAGAGTCAAAGACACAAGAGTGGGTCCTGTGATATAAGATGTCTCCCTGGCACCACCCTGGACCTGACCACCCTTCCACAAGTGCATACCAACCACCCACCAAGCACCAGGCATCCGGGGAGTGGGGCATTGGCCAGGTGTCTGCCCCCACTTGAGTTTTAGGGGAACAAGAAAACCACACAAATATCAGAGATGATTTTGGCTGGGCATAATGGCTCATGCCTATAATCCCAGCATTCTGGGAAGCCAAGGTGGGAGGATTGTTTGCGCCCAGAAGTTCGAGACCAGCCCTGGCAACATAGGGAGACCTTGTCTCTACAAAAAATCAAAACTTTAGCCGGGTGTGGTGGCGTGTGCCTGTAGTCCCAGCTACTCGGGAGGCTGAGGTGGGAGGATCGTCTGAGCCCAGGAAGTCGAGGCTGAGGTGAGCTGTGATCATGCCACCGCACTCCAGCCTGGGTCACAGAGTGAGACCCCGACTCAAAAAAATAAAACGTGATTTCTAGTAGCAACTCGCCCTGGGAGGAAAATGAAACAGGTAAGAAAATAAGGCTATGGCTCTCGATCGAAGATGATCTGTCCTCCGCTCCTCCCAGGGGACATCTGGCAACGAGTGGGGACACCTGTGGTTATCTCAGCCAGGGAGGGGAGTTCTATTAGCACTGAGTGGGTGGGGCCCAGGGCTACTGATCACCCCACGGGCACAGGACAGGCCCCCCAATGAAGAGTCATCTGGCCCCAAATGCCAGAAGAGCTGGATTGAGCAACCCTGGTATTAGAGAAGTAAGAAGTGACTTGGGGGAAAGCCAGGAAGGCCTCCCGGAAGAGGTGACAGCTTAGGAAAAGGGCACAGCTAGGGCAAAGGCTTTGAGGTAGAACTCAGTTGGGGATGTTTGGGACAGAAAGGAGAGGGAGCCAGAGAGGTGGCAGAGACAGTGAGCAGTGCAGATGGATTTGAAGCCACGATCCAAGGGTCTGAGTGGTTTTTAAGCAGGATGTGAGCCCTCCGGGTGTTTGTCTGTTTGAGTCAGGGTCTCACTCTGTTGCCCAGGCTGGAGTCCAGTGGCTCGATCACGGCTCACTGCAGCCTCAATCTTCTGGGCTCAGGCAATCCTCCCCACCTCAGCCTCCGAGTAGCTGGAACCACAGGCATGCACCACCATGCCTGGCTAACTTTTTTTATTTTTTGTAGAGACGAGGTCTCGCCATGTTGCCCAGGCTGGTCTCGAACTCCTGGGCTCAGGCAATCCTCCCACCTCGGCCTCTTAAAGTGCTGGGATTACAGGCATGAGCCACTGCCCCCCACCCTCTGGGTGGTGTGAAGCCAAGGAGTTGTGTCAGTAGGACCCCAGAGTTGATGTCCAGTGTGGGGAGCCCCATGGCTGCGGGGTCACGGCCCAGCTGCCTCTCTGTGCGGCTGCGGGCCTGTCTCTGGGCTGCTCCGTGCCTCTGTTTCCCCATCTGGAAACATGGGACTCAAAACAGCCACTAGGTATCTCCCAGGGCTGCAACCAGAGCTCAGGGAGGGAGTTTAAAACATGTTCAGCGCGGTGCCCTGCACAACATGAAGACAGAACACAGGGAGGCGGGAGGCCCTGGGTTCAAACCCCACTGACCGTGGGCAGGGACTGCTTTGCGCCGTGCCTCAGCCTCCCCACCTGGAAATCAGGGATAGTGAGAGAACCCATTTCATCAAGATGCTGCAAGGTTAAATGAATTCATCCAGCAAAAATGGACAGGACGGGCCGGAGAGAGAAGAAGCTACTATGCCAGCCTGAGACTTCGACGCTGACTACCGGAATGGATGGAAATCCGGCCAGGACACGGCTGAAGTCAACAGTGGCACCAACCAGCGGGGCATAAGGGACTTCTAGAAGCCACTGTCCCCCACAGAAGGACTCACATTCGCCTCACACCCATGGGAACACTGGCCAAGACAGGCCACGTCTAGGGCCTCAGCCTCAGAACGCACCTTCACGAATTCAAGAGAACAGAAATCTCTCGATGTCTGCTCTCGGACCCCAATGGGACTCAACCAGAAATGGCTAACAGAAAGAGAAGAGAAAATCCCAAAGCTTCCAAATAACACACGCGTCAAGGAAGAAATCTCAAGAAACAAGTCCACGGAAAGCGCTTGGCACGGGGCAGGGCTCACCCTAATGGCATGGAACACTTATCCTAAGATATAACAACAGCTCGCGTGTGATAACTGCTAAAAATTATTACTACAAATAATTACAAAAATATATAAAATATACAAAAACTTCTATAACCAAGTAAACAGTGACCTATTACTATATGTGAATTTGTAATGTGAATATACATATATGATGAGTATGTTCTAGTAAAGAATACAGGTTTAGGTCAGGCACAGTGGCTCACGCCTATAATCCCAGCACTTTGAGAGGCAGAGGCGAGAGGACTGCCCATATTTGGGGGTTCGAGACTAGCCTGGGCAACTTGGCGAGACGTCGTCTCTACAATATAGTAAAAAACTAGCCAGGCATGGTGGTGTGGTTCCGGCTACTTGGAAGGCTGAGGTGGAAGGATTGCCGGAGCCCAGCAGGTTGAGGCTGCGGTGGCTATGAGTGTGCCACCGCCCTCCAGCCTGGGGACAGAGTGAGACTCCGAATATATATATCTATAGTGCCTATTAAATAAGTATATGCTGTGTATTATTATAAGTTATTTGATGTGAATACATATTTCTAAGTGTATAATATATATTTGGGCTAGGCTCAGTGGCTCAGCCTGTAATCCCGTGCCTTTGGGAGGCTGAGGTGAGTGGATTGCCTGAGCCCGCGGGTTCGAGACCCACCTGGGCAACTTGGCGAGAGGTCATTTCTACAATAAATCAAAAAATTAGCCGGGCACAGTAGCGCGTGCCTGCAATTCTGGCTGCTTGGAAGGCTGAGGCAGAAGCATTGCCGAAGCCCAGCAGGTCGAGGTTGTGGTGGCCG